CCAATTTGATGATAGATCACGTAGTAGTCACTAAAATAAAATGTCCAACTGCAAATGAACAAGATATTATTAAATTAGTTTTTAAATAGATGGGGATTTACTGGTACAGTTGGTGCTATAGACGGAACTCATATTGCGATATTAAAACCTCCTGTTGATGAACATTATTTTATAAACAGGAAGGGTTTTCATTCTATTAACTGTCAAATTATATACAGTCACAGGACACATAACAACCACATAACATAACTAACACAGAACATTACACTTGTCTTGGTAGTAGTTCATATGACTTCAAAAACCGACAATAAACGAAAATCAACTCAATCGAGTTTCATGAATCCTATTTCGAATTGCGGTCGAGTCGAACGTCGAATTATACGATTAAATCGAATCGAGTGTCGTGATCCCAGCCCTGAAAAGGTCAAGGTGGGGGAGGCCACGTGGCCCACAGTCCTAATTAAATCTAATCTAATCTTGGTGTGGATAAAAGCTCATGTGGGAATAAAATCAAAAGAAAAAGCCGACGAACTCGCAAAAACGCTCTTTCTCAGATATCTTTCACCCAAGTAAAATGAAAATTATAGAAGAGTGGCAATCACAATATGAGGAAACTCCTACTGGTTGAAATTATAAAATATTACAACCCGAAATCGCAAAACAGATCAAGAACCACCATTCAAAGAAGTTCATCCGAGTATTATGTAGATTAAGGAGTAACCACGCACTATATCCTGAATACCTTCACAGGTTTGGACTAACAGACGATCCAAACTGCCCCTGCGGAGAACAAGGAAATCTGGAACATATCATTCTTTAATGCCCCAACCACAATCAAGAAATTAGTAACCTTTACCTAAATATTAAGAAATATACAATTTTTCCAGTAAATCTGCTTTGTCTACTGAGCAACATTATATCAATACATAATCAAAGCCAATATTAAGGTATAAATAATAAAATTTGTTACCTATTACGAAATACAAGTTCTTTTTATGTGCTTAACATTCATATAAAAAATGTGATCTATTAATAATTATATTCTGTCAATTCCTGCTCTGTAATTGGGTTTATGACCTGTAGAGTATTGTATTATAAATAAATAAATAAATAAAATACCAAAAGCACCTTTATACATTTATGTGTCCCTCCCCTCTGTGTTTAACCACCCAAGGATTAATAGAATACTAAAAGCACCTTTATACATTTATGTCTCCTTCCCCTCTGTTTAATCACCCAAGGATTAACACATGTGTAAGTAATCCCGCCCAGGAGGTCCTCGGGGAAAAAAAGTTCCTATCTTGTGTACTTTGTCAAAAAAAAAAAAAAACTAAATCATCAAAAGGAAAATATATACCCGCGTGTGCAGGACCGTACCTGTTTAAAATTTTTAATTATTTTTATTTTAAATATTTTGGAAAAATGAAATCAGCGAATCGGTCTCAAATTATGCGAACTACCACCCCTACAAATTTGGACGCCAAGTTCGGAAACGCCCTGTATAAAAGCCATTAAAATTCGTCTAAATAGTGTAGGAATATTGTCAGGGTAACACAATTATACACCTTTTGAACTAATAACACCTTATATTTTATACTTTTAAGGAATAAGTATAGTTCTTCCATTATCAATTGCAGAACATAAAAACTCGTTCGGAACCTTCACCGACAATTTTGTTTGATCTGCCATAGGCGTAGATACCTACCTCATTTTATAAATTTATTTTATAAATACTTTTAATATATATCATATGCAAGAAAGTATTCGTTAAAAGGAAATCGAATCATTATAAATTGGACGTTATTATACGCACTTAATTGTAGTCTTACTTAGACTTAAAAAAAATCATTATAGCTCGTTAACTTGCTACAACTGAATATTAAATTATAAAACGTAAAAAAGCGAGTAAAGTGTACCTGCCTGTGAGGGCGTTTGGTTTAAACAGGGTACCAGACGTGAACTGAGCCCTTTTTGTACCCCATTCGTTTTTTTTTCTGGAAAACGAAATTTCAAAGCAAAAACCATAAAGGAAAATAAATTCTTTGCAAATGAAACAAAAGAAAAAAAAAACAATTCAGTTCTAAAGTATCTTTATAAATAATCATGGCAGTCTGAATCCTCTGAACTAGTCATCATTTGGTTGAATTATGATGGGTTGTAAAGAGGGTAATACTACATACTCATCTTCTTTAATAAAATGTACACAGTTTTTCCAAAGCTATTGGCGGTCTGCTGCTAGAACTTTCTTTACGAGTTCTACAACCTCTTTACTCAGTTCTGGAGACTGATTACATTTTCGTAATTCTGATTTTACGTTTGCCCATATTAACTCTATAGGGTTAAATATGCAATAGTAAGGAGGTAGTCTGAGAAGAGTATGACCCTGTTCTTTGCACAGCTTGTCAATATAATAAATTTTTTCCAACTTCATCCCTTTAATAACAGTAAACAATTCTTTGTTTGTTGGGCCTTTTTTACGATCACTGGCAGGAATAGGAATATTTTTTTCAGACATAAACTCTAAAATTTGAGCTTTGTTACTGCTACTATTTGGTATTTTAAGGAGTTGCCGCGAGTGGTAGGATGCGTTGTCCATAACGATTACTGACTGTGGTGGAATGTTAGGTAAAAGCTGTTCATTAAACCATTTTTCAAATAATTCTGCTGTAATATCTTCATGATAATCAGCTGCACAGTTTTTAATTTGTTTAGCAGATAATAATAAAGCATTAGGCACGAAACCGTCTTTGCTTCCAGCGTGTACTATTATAATACGTTTCCCTTTAGAACATGGCCCATTCAAACAGCAATTTTTACTACTGTCAACCCAACCGAAATTTACTACATCGTGACTGTCAAACCATGTTTCATCTAGATACATTATGTGTCTATTAGAACTTCTGTACTCTTTTATCTGACGCAAATAATCTTGTCGCCATTGAACTATCCTTGACGATTCGGTGAATGCCATCCGTTTATTCAATTTTTTGTGTTTAAAACCACATGCTGACAAAACTTGACACAATGTTTCCAAACTGGTATAAGTGTATCCTGGAAAATCTGCTACCTTTTGTTGTATTACTTCCAATGTTGAAACCCTGTTCTCCTTATATAAACTATAAATTGTCCTTCGTATAAAATCTTGGGTAGCTCTGTCAACTGATTTCAGTTTTTCTTTACATGTTTTTCGGTTTTGTGAATGATCCACAGCAACCCCTTTTGTGACTACCCGATAAATGGAAAATTTATTTACTTTAGTTAATTCAGCAATTCTTATTATGATCGCATTATCAGACTGCTGAATATTTTCCTTTTTTAAACATTCGAATATATTTAAAATAACTTGTTGTGTTTGTATATCTAAATCCTTATTGTTAAAGTCATACCTGTCTTTAATCTCACTACACTGTGCAATTTCATTTTCTTCATTCGCCCACGGTCTAAGGAACGCCATATTTATATTTATTAAAATAAATTTAAATTAAACCAACCACACATACAAAACACACCTCACGATAGTACTCCACTGATATCGCAGACTGTCTTCCAGGAATATTTTCGAACACTCCTGCCCTCCGTAAACCTTCGGCCAATACAGTGCATTTAAGTTTACGATTCGATGTTTTCATTGGTAAACAACGGAGATGATGGATTTTGACACATATATATCAAGTACACGTGGACTGACCGTTCGTTTAATATTTACCGCATTGTATAAGGGGAGTAAACATTATTTTTCGTTTCTAAATTTGGCATGAGTGCCGTGCGTATATATTAAATATTGATGATTCCCCACGTAACTGTGTTCTACAATTGATAATGGAAGGACTATAACAATGAATCAATCAATAATCATTCATGAACTTATATATCATGCGTAATACATTCTTCTGATAATATGATGGATCTATCCGTGATGCATAGCCATAGGCGTGCCGCAATAGTGATTTTTAAAATGTAACTATTATAGGACCACATTGCTCCATGATAAACTGCATTTAAATAAAATTTGGCATATTTTTAAAGGATTTTGAGAAAAAAATTCATGCGCCGGTTCCTCCTAGACTAAACATTGGAATGTTTACTACATACTACATTAGAACATAATAATATAAAAATATTTGTAGAAAACTTAGTAGTTATATAAAAGTTCTAAAACCTAACAATTATTTCAATTAAACAGCATAATAATAAAATCTACTGTTTTTATACTGAATTCATTTCAATATAATAAAATCATTTAATATTACTAAATAAATAATATTTAAATATTTTTGTGGAAACCAATAATAGATAGAGATCTAGATTTGTATGCTGAATTTTTATTTGATGGGTTACTTTTTTAAACGTTACCTACATAATTGGCGACATTCCAATTAGATCCATTTAGTAGTAATGAATCACTGTATTTTAATATATTGTGATTTTCATGTAATCTTCTGTTTTAAATTGAAAGAAACACAGAATTCTAATTTAATTTACCGTTTTTATTATCTACGAATAGTAATGGTAAAAATTGGAAGCTAGTTGAAAATAAGATTAAATTTGCGTAATAAATGAACCATTGAGAGGTTAGAAAAAATTAAATACTTAATAATTACATTAATATGATACTCTTTAATAAAATTATATTTATATGAATACAAAAATCATTCAATTTTTAAAGTAATTGTTCATGTGTATTTGTTGAAAATAATTCAAGCAAAAGTAATTTGATAGTTTTCTTATCAAAATTTTCATTTGTTGTATGTTTAGAATAATGTACATTTATTTTAAATTAACATATGTTTTTAAATAGGTTTCCTCTTTCAAAATTAAAAAAATGTTCTTTAGTCTAATGGGTATCGTCCTTTGTTTTATTTAACTATTTAAAAATAAATTCATATATTCCTCATTAATTTTTGAATTTCTATATTTGGAGTTGTACCTATATTTTTATTTAGAAATGTAAGTTGAAAATGTATACATTTGCTTTGTTGTAAAAATGTTCTTATTTTAAGGTGTAAACACTGGGCATGGACAAAACTGGAACCGACGTGAAACTCGCGACACTAGAAGTGTCGAGCCCATAGGCCCTCCCAATCATAGTAATTATAACAGCGAAAAAGTTCAAGCTAAACCTCCTAGCGGCAGAAGAAACAGTACAATTGGCATAATACAAGAAAAGCGTTATAATACCCTGCCTCCAAGACTACAGAGGAAATTTTTGGAAAAAAATCAAATTCAACCTCCTGCTACAGAAGATAATAACTGGGATGGAAGTAGCATTACTTTTCAAAAAAATCAAAATTATCAGATTGATGGAGCAGCTTATTACACACTACCCATAACACCAGGGTCACATCATCACCAAAATGTATGTTTATTTCGATTTTTTTATTATATCCACTGCAGTTTTTCTTGGAATGAAAAATATTTTAATTTTTAAACTTATTATGACAGAAAGAAAATTTTTATTTGCTCTATTGATTGTAGAGCTTGCCATAATATACAAATACAGATATAAAATTATTCTTTCCATACAACTAAAAGTATGAACAAAATAAGCTAATTTATTTTTAAAACAAAGTTGTAATTAATGTTACGTCATTTACATCCTCATAGAAGCCCTTTAGGTAAGTAATAAGCGTCTCGTTTCTGCTTGTACCTCATGCCGTCACGTTCCTTCGAATTGTTCCGTTCTTTGATATTCACAATTTTCTTGAGCCTTTCTTTGATACTCGTTCTATTTTTCGATTCATCTGGTTACACCAGTTGGGTACCATCATGTCACTTCCAACAAACGCGACTGAGTTTGTTAAGTTTAGGACTTGCACTTTAAAACCTCTATAATGTTTAATTTACTAGTTGGTTTAAGAATGTTTTTTTTTATAGTTTAATAATCTACAAATTGCAAAAATTATAATATAATTTATTTATTACCCTTTTGATTAGTTCCACGTAGATGTAAGCATCTGTATGTTCACATACTCTTTCAATTTTCTTTGGCTTTATTGGCCTTTTAATATCTGATGGTACCTTGTCCATCCTATATTAGGCCAGTCATTAACGATAATCAATTCACATTTATTACAAAAATTTTCAAACTTAGTTGGAATATTTAATAAATTGAAATAATTATAAATTTAATTTAATTTTTCTGTTTGTAAATTGACTTCACACATTTCGCTCACAATTCCTTTAATTTTCTTTACTACAAATATTTAGAATTTTGAACCATTTCTCTCGCAAGAGTAATAACAGAAGGAAAAATATAAAATTTCTTGTTAATTTTGTGAATAAAATATTTACTTCTGCAATTAAAATTTAAATTAATCAGAAGTTAATGCCATTCTTAAAAACCTCACTAGTTTTAAAACTATAAATAAATGACTTAAACTTACGCTAAATAAAATACAATTTTACTCACCTATATTTTAGGCGAAAATATCAGATCATTATCAGACTGACATATTTATAGCAACATAACGTAATTTATTTTCAAAGCCAGATTTACACCATCTCATATTATTTAAATTTAACTTTATATTTATTAACGATTATCCCTGTATTTCACCACACATTGTATTAAAGTGACATTTAAAGGGTTAAATCAGTAACATTATTGATATCTTTTTCATTATTTTTGAAAAAATATTTTTTATGGGTGCGAATTGGGTTTAAATTTAGTTGGACTACAAATAAGGAAACAAGTCCCGCCATTGATTCAAACATCTTTTTATTTTTCTTTGGCAGCAACCTTGTTTAAATAAATATTATTGGCTTTTAGAAGATATATCGATCTCAATCACGTATTATTATAAAAAATGTAAATATTGTTTTGCCTTAAGCATATCAATCATATATACTGGGTACATAGAAATATTTTCAATTCCTTTTTTTTTTTTTTTTTTCATTGGAAAACGCTTCTCTTTTAAATTTCATAAAGACCGAGTTTCACCCAAATTTTATACCATGACTCATAACTAATTCAATAGAGTACTGGGTGTCCAAATAAGAAAGGACTCTGGCCATATGTCAGGAAATATTTATCGTACAGAGCTGATAATTTATTAACAAAAGTGGTCTCTAGAAATAGCTGGAATTTATTTTCAAGTTCCTAACTTCGCAACCAGTTTTTACAATGATAAAAACTGGTTTAACTATGCTCTCTTTTAATATTGATTATAAGTATTCGCCATCTAGCGGCGAAGTTTCAAACTTGAAAATTATTTTGAACGACGTTACTTTTTTTTTTCCCAAAAACACAGTTTATTAGATAGCATCCGATCCTACAGTCGGCGCCCTTTCTTATTTGTACACCAAGTACATATGATTGATATACATGGGCATAACATTATTTTTGCATATTTTTTCATAATAAATCTGTTAGAAACTATTTTTTTTATTAAAAAAAGTATTGAATTAAAATAGTCCATTGTGATGAGAATTAATATTGTCATTATTACTTAATTTTTTATTTTATTTAGACCAATTTTACCAACACTTTACCCAATAAACCAAGAGGTAGGGGAAGGCTTAACTTCGAACCAGAAATGCAATCTCCTGTGGGAGTATTTGATCCTTCGCCATTAGATAGAATAAAAAGTCCAGGCAATTCTAGACCTCCTACACCTCCTACAAGTAGACCACAAACACCTACGAATGCTGGCAACAATTACAATTCAGACTCCAGAAGGCCTTTGAGGAGGAATGAAGAGTTGGCGTCTAGAGGCCAAGATAAAAGAGACAATAATCAAAGGAAAGAATATACCAATAGGAGGTTTGTTTTTTAAATTATGAATTTAGAGTGAAATTATTTAGATGAGGCATACAAATTACTTCTATCCATCTAAATTACGGCGTGGTTCAAAGCCCACTCGTAATGAAGCTCTAGGATTATTGTACCCCTCACAGTTTCTATCGCATCGGATTGATTTTCTTGATGAATTCAAGAATATATCTAATGGGCGCTTTCGCGATTTCTTCAGGTTCCGGATATTGTACTTCGAAGTACCATTCCCATTTAAAGTTCTGATAGTGGCATAGTATGTGAATAGGAGTTTCGACCTCCTCTTCACATATTCTACATAGGGAGTCATCAGATATCCCTAAGAGATTTAGGTGTCTTCTAAGGCCGCAGTGTCCCGTAAGTAGTCCTAATACAGCCTTGAGTTCACTTCTTCTAAGGTTTAGCAGTTGATTTTGTCTGCTCGTGGATGGCCCCTCTATGATTCTTTTGGACTGTACAGGAAGTTCCAACCAGAGCCTATGGTGTTCTCTTTTTATTTGTTCCTTTAACACCCATTTAACATGTTGGTATGAGATACCACATGTGGGTTCTGGTCCAATAAGAGTTTTTTCCGCTCCCTTCCTTGCTAGGAGGTCTGCTTTCTCGTTTCCAAACACTCCCTCATGTCCTGGCACCCATTCAAGGGTAACCTTGTTATGTTCTGCCAGAGCCTAGAGGGATGGTTGGCAATCAAATATTGATTTAGATTGTACTTCTACCCTTTTTAGTGCTTTAAGGGCTGCCTGACTGTCATGATAACGATTCTCTTATCTCTAAGAGAGTCATTTAGCATGACTGGCGCAGGAATTTATTGCTGTTACTTCAGCCTGGAAGACTGTTGTCAGTGACCCCAGGTTCAAACTAATTGTCCTCCCTGAGTTCACATGGTAGATCCCAGCTCCTGTGCTGTTTTTCATTTTCGAACCGTCTGTATACCAGATTGATTCGTTTTGTTTTTCCCTTTTTTCCCGGCTTTTGGCCCTTTCTGGTATTTGAATATCAAAAGGTTTCCTGAAGTCGTGAGTAATGGGCGTTCTATCCGATGGCATTCTTAGTACCGGATTTTGTTTTAATTTCTCTAATATCATTGTGTGGTGTCCTTTTCTCGAAAGTTTCCATCCAAATCCATTAGTAAACAGCCTGTATGCCGCCGCCATAGCCTCCTTCTCTACCACAAGGTGTAGTGGAGGAAGACCTAGCAGTAGCTCCATTTCTGCTGTGGGCTTAGTTCTAAATGCCCCTGTTATTATTAGGCAGACTAGTCTTTATACCTTGTCTAATTTTCTGTTAGCTGTTATGCTTTTCTTGTGCCACCATATGACTGATGAGTAAGTTATGACCGGTACTACAACCATAGTGTAAAGCCAGTGCATCATACTTGGTTTAAGCCCCCATGCGTTCCCTACCATCCGTCTACAGGCCCATAGTATTCTTACAGCTTTTTCTGTTGTTTTTTCTATGTGGCTACAGAAGCTAAGCTTGTCATCGAGAGTGATTCCAAGATATTTAACCTCCTTTGCCATTTTTAGATGTTGTCCCCACATATAAAGCTCCTTCATTCCTTGAAGGTTCCTTTTTCTTGTGAATGCAACAACAGAGGTTTTTGTCGGGTTTGTGAACAGTCCCTCTTTTAGGCACCATCTTTCGACGATATTTAGTGCCCGCTGCATCCTTTCGGATACAACAGTCCCAAATTTACCGTTTACTACGATGCTTATGTCGTCTGCAAATGCTTGTGTGTATAAGTTTTCTCTCTCTAACTCCCATAAGAGGTAATCAACCACCAAGGTCCACATAAGAGGAGATAGCACTCCTCCCTGCGGGCATCCCTTGTTAACTGAGACCTCTATTGTTGTGTTAAGGAGATTACTGGTAATGGTCCTATGATTAAGCATGAACTCTACCCACTTCGTAATGCAGTGGGCTACTCCACGCCTTTGCATAGATCCCAGTATTGAATTGTATGAAGCCGAGTCAAAGGCTCCTTCTATATCTAGGAATACTCCCTAGTGCTTATTTATTTGCTTTCCAATGCTTGTTCAGCCGGTTGAGTTAGCCTATGTATGGCTGCATCGCAAGACTTTCCAGATTGGTAGGCAAACTGGTATTGATGTATCGGTTTATCCCATAGAACATCATCCCGTATATATCTATCGATCAATTTCTCCAAAGTTTTTAGGAGAAATGACGTTAGGCTGATTGGTCTGAAAGATTTGGTCTCCTTGTAGGACGCTTTCCCGGGTTTGGGAATGAAGACCACTCTTGCACACCTCCAGCTTTGTGGAACATATCCAAGGGCTATGCTAGCTCGGAATAATTTACACAGTGGTCCCTCCAGTACTTCCTGGCTTTTTTGGAGAAGTGCCGGGATTACACCATCAGGTCCAGCTGTTTTGTATGGTTGAAAGGAATTTATCGCCCACACAAGTTTTGTTCTGTTTACTATTGAGTTTGCAAGAGACCAGTTTGTTTTTGAGGCCCTAGAAATTAGTGCATCAGTACTCCTGTTCTCTTGGTCAAGAATAATCTTACATCCAGGAAAGTGTGACTTTAGTAGTAAATCTAAGGTCTCCTCCTCTGTTTTTGTAGGTTCTCCTTGTTGATTTTTCAGAGATCCCATGCATCCTTGCTTATCTCTCTGTAGAGTTTTCCTGAGTCTGGCACATTCTGGAAGGCTTTCAATGCCTTCACAGAATTTCTTCCAGGAATTTTCTTTGGCTTTCGTAATGGCATAGCCATATTCTCTCCGGTACGCCTTATAGGCTTCCCAGTTCCCCGACCTTTTAGACAGGTTGAAGAGTTTACGAACTTCTGCTCTTTTTTTGGAAAGGTCTCGATTCCACCATACAGCGTCTCGATCCTCTTTCATAATTTTTAAAGGACAGTTTTTTTCAAATGTGTTGGTTAGGGTTCGTGTCAGAAACTCTGACATAAACTCAACTTCCACTGAATTCTTCGGTATCGGAGGACAGTCCTCCAGTACTTGTTTGAGTTCTTCCTTGAAAGCTCCCCAGTTACAGGTCCTAGGATTACGATATGTCTTCTCACCCGAGGTTTTAGTACCCATCTCAAATAGGATATGTCTATGGTCGGAAAGTGACGCTTCTGGTGAGACGTGCCGCTTCCCCACCAATGAACATGCCCGTTTTGTACCTAGGGTTATATTAATTACCTCCCTTCGCACAGATGTTACGAAGGTTGGTTCATTTCCAACGTTTGCAACTTCTAGTTTATTGGATGCAATAAATTCCAGAAGAGCTTCTCCTCGGTTATTAATGTCAGTGATTCCCCACACTATATGGTGAGCATTGGCATCACACCCTAGAAGAAGTTCGATTTTGTTTTTTTCACAATGACTAACCAGTTCTCTCACCTCCTTGGTGGGGGGGAGCCCAGGTTGGTCATATGGTAGATATACGGATCCAACAATCAGATTAGTTCCTCCGTCTAGCTTTAGGGATATTGTCACTAGGTCATTTGTACAAAATTCCCATAGTGGAAACACCTTCAAGCTTTTATTTGCAATAATGCAGGTTCTTGGGTGTCCAGACGCTGAATAAATCAGGTCATAGTCCCCTGATATATGCAACCCTCTAATTTGCCCCTTGTATATAAGTGGTTCTTGGATTAGAGCAAGATCAATGTCTTGTTTTATTATACATCGTTGTAGGACAGCTGTTGCCGCCCAACAGTGATGTATATTTGCTTGGATTACCTTTATATTTTTTTTTTAAGGTACCCCCTATTCCTTGATGTAGGGTCCTCTTCCTCCTCCGGCACGTCAGCCGGGTTAGACAGCGGTGAGTCCCCTAAAAGAGTCCTCTCCTCGTCTTCACATAGCTCGCGTGCTGCGGATTCCAAGTCCCCTATTTCCATTGAAGCCTCAGTCTCTTGTTCTGTAGCCCCACTTTCTTGTGGTTCTACGACCAAGGACTGATTCTCCTCTGGTATGTTATCTCCGACCTCAGTAGGTGTTTCTTTTCCCTGAGAAGTTTCAGGAGCAGCAGGAGTAGCCCGTTCCGTCTTTCCTCCAATTTATTTTATGGAGATATTGGAGAAATTCAGGAACAGTATTCCCTGCTTCTCCTTTATCTTCTCCCAAGAGACGGAATCCATGGTTATGAAAAGTTGCTGTCCCCTGGGGTCCAACTTCCTTCCAGTAACCCTCCAGTTCCCCGTTTGGAGCTCCGAATTTTGGATTCTCAGTCTTTTCATTATTCTTTCCGGTTCCACTGCGGGTCCCGGTATCCATGTCATGGTAAACTTGGGTTTGATTACTTCCCCAGAGTCTATGACTTTGAGTTTAGCACCATCCCAAGGTACCATGCTTTTGACGGTCTGCTCAACCCAATCTCTCGTTGCTTGATCAACGCAAGAAAGGTTCAAACTCCCGTTTCTTATCCTAGTTTCGGAGAACCTGGGTGAAAGTCCTCCTTCGTCTAGTTCTTCAAGTCTGTCGAGCAGTGCAGTCCTTATTAGGTCTCCCTGCTCTGTTGTTAGTGTATTACTGGGATAGTCTATTGGTACAATGACTACCCCAATATTGCTTACTTAAGAGGCGTAAGAACACGATGCTACCGGCTCAGTCCCATCCGGCCCCACATTTGATGTGGTACCAGTTGGTCCCGAACCCGCAGCTCTCGCATCCTTAGCCCTTTTGGTTTTTCCTTTTTCCGGCGTGCTGGTATCGGACCGGTTTCTCTTTTGAGCCCCGGTTCGTCCCTGCTCGCTGGACACAGCCTTAGCTATGTTTTTTGTTTTGCTATCCCTGAGGTACTAGGACTCGCGTTTTGTTCCATCTCCGTAGAGAAAGGACGAGACGCTTGCCCCCGTTCCCCTGGTCTAGCATTCGTTGGTCGGATGTTTTTTGTTTTGCCATCCCTGAGGTACTAGGACTCGCCTTCCGTCCCATCTCCGTAGAGATAGAGCCAGATGCTTGCCCCCGTACCCCTGGTCTAGCATTCACTGGCATAGTGGTCCGCCCTGTGCCG